TTTTTTTTTTCCTTGAGCCCATCCTGGTGGAATTTCCAAGGACGCAACAGGAGCAATTGAACCTCTTGTCTCCTTAAGTCTGATAGTCTCCCTAACCCGTTTCCATTAAACCATCATGACAAGAAACTCAACACTTTCGTGCCCTGACTTCAAATCCAAGGCTGTACATTTTGTGTCCTATCCCTCCAAGTATCTGCAGTTTGCTTGATTGTATACCGGTCTGCCTGGCTCTCCCCTGCACTATATATAGGTTTCCATCAACTAAGTGAATCCAATAATGGGTAGTAAAAGAGAGAGAGAGAGGGGATAATCAAACCTCTGGATGTGTCTTTTCGCCTCGCTTGAGACCAAAGGAGAAATCCTGCACTTAATTGTTGAGGGGACCTAAAGTTCCAGAGCGCCTACGTTGGAAAGCAGCTTTAATTAGACATAGTTTGAGGCTAATATCTCAGATGGGGTAACATCCACTGCCACAGGAGGCATCCACACACCCACACATACTGAGAATAATGTACAGTACCTGCCTGTAGATGTGCAGAGCCAGCCTAGGGATTCAACGGAGACATTTCTGATGTATGCTTGCCATCTCTTGAGTAATTTTTATTGATTTTCAGGGAGGAATTGGCTCTAACAAGCTTCTCCTATGTGATAATCTCCTTTTTACGACGATAGCAGTGATTAGGAGGAAGGGGCCCCGCTGCTTTCAGCAGTAATTGTGTGGTAATCAATCATCAATCTCCAGGAGCTGTTCGACAAAGCACTCCTGTTCAGATGCTATTTTTGACCCAGGCAACAACTAATAAGGTCTCGCTTCAGCTAGGGACAGAAAAACCAACAGACGCAGAATAATATTCCCATTTGCTGTTCAGTGCACCTACAATTTTTATCTCTTTTTAAATCTACGATTGCGTAGCTGTAAGAGGTATGATGGTTTGTTTTGCGGTTAAATGTTGCCATCTCTTTCAATTACTGACAAAAAGCTGTAATGTCATTTGATTACCACAAGATGCTGACAATTTCATATGTCCCTTGGAGGCACCACATTGTGACCCATTTGCTTTACTCCCATTTCTCCACCAAAGCAAGGGCTGAGGTGGGTCTGAGGTGAATGTCATGAAACTTGGTGCAGAGGTGTAGCAAAGGAAGAAGCCGTTCAGTTTATGTGTATGGTGTGTGTCTGCAATATATCATTTTCTTTTAAATTGCAAAATAGGCCATTGCCCCATGGGCTCATTGAATGCACTCCCAGGGTGCCCTTTTGTTTAGAGATGCTGCTCTTCTTATCCACCACATGGTTTTACATTACATGCCAAGTATAGAGGAGAGTCTGATAATGCTTCAGCATCCAATGAGCATGCTTCAGATCATGTTAAAGCCTAATCTTTGCAGGGAGAAAAGACATAGCACGCATCTTTTATAAGAAGAGGATTGCTTGTTCAAAATTCAAGAAATCAATACTGTAGCAGCTAAATAAGATTACAGAGAATTTTTTGTGAGGAAGTCGTAAATTTGTGGAGGGCGTAGAAGAACAAATCCATCAAAGCCAGCATCAAAGCTGAGGCGGTTTTCCCTGCACTGTCTTTGATTGTAGAGATTATAAAGGAAGATAGAAAATAAGAGAAGATTGCCTGACATGATGGTTGATCTTCCGAGAATAACCTCAAGTGCTATCCTAGCTGATTTAGGGAGAGGGACAAATGCATCTAGTGTCCTACATTGGTCTGATTAGATTAATAAATCAATCCCATCCTCACCCGCCCATCAGGTTTTGCCCAGGCTATTTTTAAGAAATGGGTTACAGAAGATCATCAAAGTATTTCTGATCACTGACTAACACATGACACTAGCTGTTGCATAACTAACATCTGCATGGAAAGCGCTGGTTATAGATGGCAAATGGAAGAAGTGCTTTTGGTGGAGAAAACCCCTTTTTCTTTGTTTAGGCAAAATGCACTACTTTTTAAAATTCTCTCATTATTAGATGAGAACTCATCTGCATATATTCCAATTTAGTGCACAGTGTTACACATCAGCTGCCTCCTGGTGTGTGACAAGAACAAGCCCGGACTTTAACCTCTTTCTTGTATTTAGCTGTCACTGACAAGGCCTACTGTATGTGCTGAGCAGAATTAAAGAAGCGTGTCTGCAGGGTTGGGGATGCTTGAATGATGCTTCAATTAATGGTTTCTATAGACTCCCTTACAGTTGATAAGTTCTGCATGTTTGGATAAAAAACACTTACTAACACTGCATGATATTTTTTTTGTAATTGTCTATGTGGCTGTAAGTCAACCTGAAATCAATCCATGTGGAAATGGGAGCTTTTGTTGTGAATAAGATTAAAGGTACACAATGACAAACGGTTCCAGTAACCAGGACTGTGCAGTTTCAAAGGTTCCTGCATACCATCTCTGAATTGAGGAGGGAGCCTAAAGGTACATCTTTCACCTTCTCACAATGCTGTTAGTCAGTGGTGCTTGGTTTGGTCATTATGCAAATGTACTGTTTATAAGATTAGGGAAACCCGCAGTCAGCTGAGACTGAGGAAGTCACTTGGATGAGTGATGAAACATTTCTCTTCTCTACTTCCTAGAATTTAGCAGCATTTCAATGAAAATCATGGGCTAAACTCACATGCTCACACACACAAATAAAAAACAAAGCAAAATAAAGGCAAGAAGATTCATGATTTTTAACCCAGGTTGATCTGAGTTACAGTTTGAGCTATGCAAACAATTTTATGAAAGGAGTGTCGAGCACATTTCACATTTCAGACAAACAGTTGATGAGGATTCAAATCTCCCTACTCTTACTCTCTGATTGGTGAATGCTTTTTTTATGTGTTCACAAAGTGTTCAAACCTTGTCTTTTTGTCAGGCAGCTGGTTGAATTTGATAACGAAGCCCTGCTTGAAATGGACTAACTTACATTTTCAAACTTTTAAAGCCAGTTTCTATATTTGTCTGTCAGTATCACTGACTCTGAATTTTGATTTTACTATGTAAGCATTAACAAGAGTCATTGTTAGTAAGCCACTAGGTGCATTGTGTGCAGGGTGCTATGTTCAGCACACAGGCTTTTGGCTCATTTCAATTCTTAAAAAAAGTGTTTTTTTTCTTACTTTAAGCAACGCCTATTTAATCAGGAACATTTAATTTTCTCTTGATTTGGAGGCCTCGGGGGATTTTTAAATCATGAACACTGAAGATAATCCAAAGGGACTTTGTCATTAAAAAAGCTCCACTGTATCCTGGAGTTAATTGCTCTTTTTCTGGAAGTACATGCAGGAGAGACACTTTGACAAAAGTAGTGTACAGACTTTTGTTTCAGTGAGCATATGTATGAAATACAGCAATTAAAAATTTCTAGCTCGTGGTGCTGGCTGGCTCGCTGATGGCCAATCCAAACTAATAGCCATATTTTTTGCTCTGCAAATATGTGAATAGCCTTTTCCTCTTAATGAGGGCCAGAATGCAGGGATTGGGTGACCTGTGTCCCCCTGCACTCATTATAAAAGCACAGAATCGTGCAGAAGCTGAAGCCAATGTTCACCTGGCAATTATGATGGCCTGGTGACTGATGGGGAAATCTTTTCCTGTGTGTTCTCCTCAAGAGGACTGAATCACAGTGCCTTGCAGACAGTGCTCAGAGGCATCTCAACTTTGCTCTGTGCTGCCATGCAATCATTCATTTGGAAACAGTTATGTCAGGCCTTAGTGCTGTTTTTAGAAGCTACCATTGGTACAGTAGGGCTTGCTGGGTTCTGACTGGACAAGGAATATCATGTGGTTAAGTACAGGGACATAAAAGATATTAGGGGAGGTAGATTTTGCCTGGAACCAGACTGACTTAGCAGAGACTTTGCATTGAGGAAGGGTTAGAGAAAAGGGAGCAACAGGCCATTATAGATATTTACACTACAAAATCAAGAGATACTGCATGAAATGGCAGTAAATACAAAACAAATGATTGATATTCACAGATGACTGTGTGTGATACTACACCGGATGCAACAAGATGTGTAGGTGACTGTCAGGGCTGATTCAGAAGGTGATTTATTCATTTGATCTATTTACTCTTTCTGGGGTGAAAATGAATACAGCCGAATCAATCCACATTGCTGTTGCGCTGATGATGCAGTGTGTATCCTGCTTTAATGCTTTAATATCTAAGAGGCACACATCATTGACTTCGATAGGGGTAATTGTGATTTTAGCAAGAAAAAAAGACATAATCACAAAAATAAAATAGAAAATAATAGAGAGGAAAAAGGGTGGAGACACAATAGACAAGCTGTTTGTTTTAGGCTGCTCACCCTGCTTCATGTGTTTGAGAGAAAGCCTGGGTAACTATGGTGTGGGTGTATTCCTCCGTGGCCTTGATCTTGGTAATATGATGGGTGAATTCTGGTTTCAGCTTTTTTGTCCTCCTGAGATCTAAAAGAGTTTGCTGGGAGTGACAGCAACTACCCCGCTGAAGGTGTTACTCTGTTAAGAGATCTAGTGTGTAGCATAGATCGGGTGCAGTCACCCATGAGATCGATGAATGTGGGGGTCAGCTGTGGCTGTCAGTACAGGTGACCCAGAAGAATAGCCGCTAAACATTTCAAAATGTTCACTGGCATTGGGACAATTTTTCCTTAAACTGGTTATGTACTTAAAAAGACTAATGAGCATTAGTTTGGCAACTTTTTTTTTTTTTTTGGCAAAATAGAGATAACAAGCTGCAGGAGAAAAATGTAGCTTTTTAAAACACGCAAAAGGCATTTATAATATCCTTAATAACTGTTATTGGCAATCTATCTCTAAGCCAGGGGTTAATTCTTCCATTATTGGAGTCTAAAATGTTGCTTTCGGTGCAATTATTTGAAAGTCATCAAGACATCTCGACTGCAATTTCCCATATTTGATCACTTGAAAAAAAGGAAAAAAAAAACCTGTCAAATCAGGCGAATCCTCTTCCCTCCTCCTCCAAATTGTCTGTCTTTGTAGTACCACTAGGCAACAGTGAGTGCATCACTGAAATCGTGGAAGTGCGCAGGAGCCGAACAGGGAAATCGAAGGGAAAGAATGATTTAAGCAGCCAAAAGAGCATCTGGTGGATCTCTGCCGCTGAACTATGAGAATCCAGTCGATATTTCTCTAAGAGAGGAGAAAAGGTACCCGAAAAGAACCAGGCAAACAGCGTCGATGCGCGCAGCAGCAAATGACGACAGTGGGACAGTGATTTTCTTCCTCCAGCTCGTCATTTTTTACAGTCATATACTTGGGCGCAATTTATCTTCTATGTGTAGAGATCGCAAAGGAAGGACTGGAAACCGAATTATCTCCAACACAGCCGCAAGTGCGCAAAGAGCGTTTTCATCTTGGAAACCGTTTCCACAGACTAATTACGCAGAGAAAATTGTCTTTTATAGACCACTTAAGGATTTTGAACTTTCCTATGAAAACTTACTTCGTGAGTACAGTTTTGAACAAGTCGATATAGCCCCCCAACCTTCTCTGGCGATGAGTAATCCACGACGCTGCAACTGATAAACCTCTAAAACCTGGACTGCGACTGGCGCGTTTGGATACCTTATCCTGTGCGTCGCTTATTTTATTTTATTTTTTTCATATGGCTTCTATCTTTGGGGTTAGTAAGCTGGTCGTCCATTATTGATATTTCATGGCTGTAGAGAGTAGCAACAGTAGTGTGTGGCGAAAGAGGACGATGCAAGTCTAACTCGGGAGAAGACATCGCACTTTTATCGCCTTATTTCCCAAAAAGGAGACATTGCGCACGGGCACTAACGACTGCAGCAACTAAAAGCCAGACTTTAAAAAAAGAAGAAAAAAAAAACACTGAATCATTTGTTATTTCTTTCGCTGCTGTCATCGTAGTATGTCTGCACTTCGAAAGAAATTTGGGGACGATTATCAGGTAGTGACCACCTCATCTAGCGGGTCTGGATTTAATCAGCCTCCCCCAGAGAAAAAGAAGAAGAGGCAGCGGTTCGTGGACAAGAACGGGCGATGTAACGTCCAGCATGGGAACCTGGGTGGTGAAACCAGCAGATATCTCTCAGACTTATTCACAACGCTAGTAGATTTGAAATGGCGCTGGAATCTATTTATTTTCATCCTCACCTACACAGTCGCTTGGCTCTTCATGGCCTCTATGTGGTGGCTCATCGCGTACATCAGAGGAGACCTCAACAAAGCCCACAATGATAAGTACACTCCATGTGTGGCCAATGTCTATAACTTTCCCTCAGCCTTTCTCTTCTTCATAGAGACCGAGGCCACGATAGGATATGGTTACAGATACATTACAGACAAATGCCCCGAGGGGATCATTCTCTTCCTTTTCCAGTCGATCCTCGGATCGATCGTCGATGCATTTTTGATCGGCTGCATGTTTATCAAGATGTCTCAGCCAAAGAAAAGGGCCGAGACTTTGATGTTCAGTGAACATGCGGCGATTTCTATGCGAGATGGAAAACTAACTCTCATGTTCAGGGTCGGGAACCTGCGTAACAGCCATATGGTCTCTGCACAGATCCGCTGCAAATTGCTAAAAGTGAGTGATGATGCTTTTGGGATTGTCCCCAGTGTTTCTCATAGTTCACCTCATGAGTTGTTTAGAAAACTGATACAGAAAGGCCTACACACTGACATTTAAGCCTACTCCTAACTGTTCATAGAGCCGCGAGGCATCTGTTGGACAAATCCTCATTTGTATTTCCAAATTTCATAGACTGCAGTGGATGCACGTTACACCACATTTGTGACATAACTCCAGGAAGATCATTACCTACCCTAAATCAAAACACAAAAGGCATATGGTTTCCAGGAATTATAATACAATTACAAAAAGAACAATAACAGTAAAAATAATTTGGCAACTTTTTCCAAGCGGCCTGCACCTTAGTAATAACACTGTGTGTCCATGAGTTCGTTTCTCTACACAAGAATATTCTTATTTGTCACTTCCCATGCCTTTTACTGCTTTGCTTCATAAACACTTTCCATAATATAAATGTACATCCACTACCATAACAACAGACAAGAGTATGCTGACAATACAGAAACATTGCAAAAAAACCCCTGCAGCTTCTATCACATTAAAGACGTATATGCCACACTGCAACAACATCCATGTTAGTAAATGATGACAGTTGCTTTTTTGCTTTGCTTTGTTTGTTTGTTTGTTTTTCCATAGAGGCAAATAAGCCTTTTTCCTGTGTCTAGTTTTCATATTCTGACACGGCAGGTGAGTTTAATGCAGGTGAATCCACTTTGATCAAGTGGATCAAACTGAATCCAGTTTATTTAATTACACATGTAAAGAGTCAGTGACACCTCCAATCTATGCTAAAATGGATATTCTCAGAGCATGTGTCCTTCTTTTGCCTTAATTTAAGAAAATTGTAGTAATTTTCCTGATAGACTGGTTGGATCTGATTGCATATAAAATGTGAAAAGCTTACACAAAGGCTCTTGATAAGCTGTGGATGGCTGTCTTACCCCTTCCTTCTCTCTACTGAAGAGTTCTCTGTCACTTTCTGTATGCTTCTTTAGTCTCGCCAGACCCCTGAAGGCGAGTTTCTTCCGCTGGATCAGCTGGAGTTGGACGTGGGTTTCAGCACCGGAGCAGATCAGCTCTTTCTCGTCTCACCACTCACGATCTGCCATGTGATTGACACCAAAAGCCCCTTCTACGACCTCTCCCAGAGGTCCATGCAAACAGAGCAGTTTGAAATTGTGGTTATATTAGAAGGAATAGTGGAGACCACAGGTGAGTAACAGCAAACATGCATTTTTGTTGGCTTGCTCTGGTGAAAATGACAGCCTGTAGCCTGTTTTACGTCAAGTCATAGCTGCAGTCTACATCTTCAGCATAGAAGTATGTTGGATTGTCTTTTTAATGGTGCTGAAGTACTTTGATGTGTTTCTGAAACAGAAATGGATAATATTGAGCTTCTTCATAGGTGTTAATGGCTGACATCCAAACGGACTTGGTATTGACCTCTTGATTGCAATTCATTGATTTTTTTTTTCTCTGGCAAACACACAGAGCTGCTAATAATGAAAGTGGTTGGCATTTATAAATCACCGATGATTAATTTTGTCTGCAGGCTTTAAATGAATTTTAACACCTTGTGTGCTTTGAGAAGTTAGGCAGAATTTTAAGCCATACTTAAGTGCAGAACACTTGAAGCTCTAGCAGGTCACCGTTTTGGTTTTGCACCTTTTCTTTTTGTCATCTGCAGTAAATTCCATTCCTCCGTCTTTGTGCCTGAACAGCTCTTACCTCTTGGCTGCTGTTCTCAGAGGGCATGATAATTTGCTTTCTAAGGTCCCTTTAGAATTAGGGGAATTCCATTTCCACAAGATGAGCAATGCCCCGAGTAAAATTCTCCACCGTGGTCATTTTAAATTCGACGATTTATTTGACACAGTTGCTATAGTAAGAGTGGGGCGAGCTCCCTCAGTGTTACAGAGTGAACACAGGAGCAGTTGTAATAGGCTGGTTCAGAGAAAACAGCATATGGAGATGTGACAGGAAAGCTTGCAGGCCAACACTGCAGACAGTAATTAGCATAGACATTCAATTCCTGATAGATAATCATGATAGCAATTTATTGCAGTTGTATCAAAGATTGAGCTCACTGTGACCCTCCAGCTCAGGGCATGCAGTATTTATGATTCGTCATTTCACTGGCATGTTGCATAGATGAAAGTGCGCTGCACATTATTGAGTTGTGTTAATATATTGTAGTTTGTATTGTGTTTTAATATATTCCAGTACGCAGCATCTGTACAGACTTAATTCTGTGAAAGACAAATTGAGGATGTCTCATTATAAATTAAATAAATAATCACTAAACATTTGGTGTAAAATGATCTAAATCTTAATCTTTCATCTTGCTGTGACTGTACATCTTTTGTGACTGTCACACATTTGGCTAGACAACTAAAACTCGCTGTTTTAAGCAAGTGCAGCAAATCTGCAGTGTAGCAATGCGATAAAAATCATCATTGTTATATTTGCAGATATTTATAGCGTTACGCTGTCGCTGAAGCATGTGTCATCACATCACCCGTGTGTTTTTTGGGGGGATTGTTGTGCTCACGTTTGCATTCCACGGAAGTGTCTGTATGGAGGAGGACTTGCGGTTACGTGAAGTTGGTGAGAAGGGTGATGTAGAAACAATCTATAGTTAAAAATTGATGTACAGTGAAAGTCTAAATCCTCAGACGCTTTCATTTCTGCCCAGTGTAACTCTGTTTCCATGGCAACCTCTCCTTAAGTATTCAGGATTGCAGCACTGCACCTAAACTTAGATATTTTTTATATTCTTATGGTATAGGAATCATATAATCGTTTTGGTAATAAATTGGGTAAACATGTTTTTTAAACATGAATCTAATTTCCAGTTGTTGTCACCACCTGGCATCAAGGAGACTCTCCTCTGAAATGTGAAAAGCACACAGAGGCGTTACTCTTCCATAAAGTGCTTTCCAGAACAGGTGATACAGCAGAGAAAGAATAAGATGAAATATTTATGAGGCTTGGTGTTTACTAGTGAAGAAGCTGCCCAACTCCCCACTATTTTCTTTTCTTTCTCTCTCTTGTTATGCGTGGAAAAACACTGTCTGGAACATGAGTTAAAATACTCTCCAGATTAAAGCCTCGCCATCACTGGGCTGTTGGGGTTCCCATTAGATAATAACAGACACAACACTGTACCCTTTTTGACACACTAACCTTTCGTTCCTCTAGATCACACGAAAATATTTTGTCAGTTCTTTTTCTGCACAAAAGAAGAAAAGAAGAGCGTGAAGGAACTCAGAATTATTCCATTTTGCTGTAACCTCAGAAAACCCCTACATTGTGCAAAAAGGCACAAGCCTACCCTCTTCTCTTTTAAACAAGAGCCTAAGGTGTTTTTAATCACTGCCTCAATGTGATACAGCTTCCAGATGAGACGTGTAGGTTGTCTCGTGGCATCCTATCTTTTTTCTTTTCCGCAGTAATACCAGTTGTGCTCCAGAGGATAAATTGCAGTTAATGTACTGTGCATGCTGCCAGAAGAGCAGACTAGCTTTAGAAAAAAACAGCATAGGCTTGTAGTAACAAGTTTTAGATGAGTTAATGGCGCTAACAGGAATAATGTCAAACAATCAATAGAAGCAACACACACCAATTTACTTCCCAGCAAGAAATTTTAGTAGTGTGATGGGCTACAGAGCAGTACGCGTCAGGCTCTGTGTCTGTGTGTGCTTCATCCATCTATTACTTACTGGATCTCTGTAAAATAATACCCGGCTTAGTTATTTCAGCATTATTCGAGCACTGCAGGCCTGACAGGTGCTTGGATCAAAGAGGAGGAATTTATTGCAGCAGGAGTGGATAACAAGTAATGACTACAAACCAGCTAATATCTGATGTTTGCGACTCTGGTATAACTCCAATGCTTAATAAATGCAAATGCATTTTGTCCTTTTAGAGTAATGATAACATTTTGTACATATGTGATTATACATTTGACATCAAATGCACAGTCTGTGATAGACTAAGACTGTAGGGCAGAAATATTTGCTCACTTTCAATAAGGTAGGGTCTGCTGGAAAAAGTGATTGTTATATGCTTAAGCATTTTCTGTGCATGCTGGACTCTGTTTAAACTGGATGTGAAGATGCATTTCGAACAGTCAGACTGAAGAGTAATTAGGTGTGAAAAGCGTGGCTCAGTCACCACAGACCTGTGTCATGTGTCGTTATGTGTCTCCAAGGTGTCTCGCTGACCAATCGCGCTCTGATTTTTTTCTACATCACTTCCGCTAGAAGGTCAAATTTATTGTCTGTCGCCAGTGAAGCAAAAAATTTATTTAGCAAGGTTGAGCAAAAAAAAACAACCCTAAATCGCTCAAGATGCACGGGTTATTCCAGCTATTTAGGGTAGTGAGAAAAAGGACTACCACGTCCTGCACTAATACATCCCGTGTATTGTTTTGTTTTGTCTTTTTTGAGGCTGTCTCAGAACACAATAGTATTTGCACTATTCATTTCAATTCAATTTTATTTATATAGCACCAAATCACAACAACAGTTTCCTCAAGGTGTGTTATATTTAAAGGTAAAGACCCTGCAATAATACAGAGAAAGCAGAGAACACCCTTCAGAGGACGTAAGGTCTAATGAGTCCCAGAACAATCCTGGCAAGTGGTCTAGTGGCTGTTTACATTTGCTGTCCATTTGTGATTATTCAGAGTTTGTCTCATAGAAACTGTTAATACAGCAAGACTGCAACAAACCCATCCTGCCTACAGTCTCAATTTATTTATCTGATAATACATATAAATATACATAAAGCTTCAGATTGTCGTTTTTTGTCTTTTTTCATAACCGAAGATATTAGTGGTCACGTTATTTTTTTCTCTTTATTTACTACTAGATTTAGTTAGCAATATACTATTTATAATGGAATCAACAAGAAAGATTTTTCACTAAAAATTTTGAATATTCAAAATTAAAGTCCTTTTCAGTGAGTCTCAGATGAAGGCAGAGTAAGCAGATGAGTGACGAGACTTTGGATGAGGTGCTCTGGACAACCTGAAAGAGGTGGCAACAGGGACGAGAGGGGTGTCAGGACAGCTCGAAAGGGAGATTGACAGATCGCAAAGAATTAAAAGAACAGGGACGGATTGATTTGGACAATGTGGGCAGATAAATCATTGGGAAAAAGTAGTAAGTTTAAAATTTGGATGACAGTGTGTGAAAACAGAAGCGATGAAGAAAACAGGGCAGCAAGAATAGCCCATATAACCACAATTGATTTTCCCCACTTGGTGACACACCTGCTGAGAAAAATAATAATAATACTAAAAATAAATAAATAAATAAATA